GGGTGGGTTCTTCGCTAGCAGCGGTGGCTCTTCTGTCCCAAGGACCGGCCCATAGATTTCCACTGCTCTCCTCTCCTCTGCCTTCTGTGCATCCACATGCCAGGCACTGGGCCCAGATGTTCCTCCTCTTCCTCATCAGCCACCTCCAGACCTGGGGGCTGTTGACTCTCCATCTGAGGGATGATGGACAGCCCAGGCTCCGCCTCTCTCTCTCTCTCTCTGCCAGCTCCACTCCCTCTCCCTCTCCCTCTCCCTCTCTCTGCCAGCTCTATTCCCTCTTCCCCCTCGGAGCTCTCAGGTTGCCTTGATGCTGACCCTGACTCCCACTCCTCCTCCTCCTCCTCCTCTGATTCGGCTGCTGGAGGGACCAGTGGCCAATAGGCCACAACAGAAGGAATGGTTGGACTGGAAGACCTCCAAGGTCTCTTTCATCTCTATTATTCTGGCTTCTGGGTTCTAAGTAGGATTTAAATGCAACCAGGAGAAGGAAGGGGTGGGGGTGTTGGTTATTTATTTATTTATTTATTTATTTATTTGATTTGTCAATTGTTTACAAGATAATAAGTACAAGTGTATACATAGTTGTGAATATATGAAATGGGTACATATAAGAAAAATAAAAGAATAAGAGAAACAATAGGACAGGGACGGTAGGCACGTTGGTGCGCTTATGCACGCCCCCTACAGACCTCTTAGGAAGGGGGTGAGGTCAATAGTAGACAGTCTAAGGTTAAAGTTTTTGGGGTTTGGGGAAGAGACTACAGAGTCGGGTAGAGTATTCCAGACATTGACCACTCTATTGCTGAAGTCGTATTTCCTGCAATCAAGTTTGGTGCGGTTTACTTTGAGTTTGTATCTGTTGTGTGCTCTTGTGTTGTTATGGTTAAAGCTGAAGTATTCATTGACAGGTAGGACATTGCAATGTATGATTTTATATACCATGCTTAAGTCGGACCGAAGACGGCGTAATTCGAGGTTTTCTAGTTTTAGAATTTCGAGTCTGGTGGCGTAAGGTATTCTATAACAGGTAGAAGAGTGGAGAACTCTTCTTGTGAAATACTTCTGGACTTTCTCAATTGTGTTAATATCACATACGTGATAAGGATTCCAGACTGATGAACTGTATTCGAGTATTGGTCTAGCAAATGTTTTGTATGCTCTGGTTAGTAGTGAGATATTACCAGAGAAAAAGCAACGTAGGATTAGGTTAACAACTCTTAATGCCTTTTTGGCTATGTAGTTGCAGTGAGCTCTAGCACTTAGATCATTAGAGGTGAGTATTCCCAGGTCCTTTACAGAGCTTGGGTCATCAACAAGATCTTGACTATTCAGTTTGTATTTTATTTTCTGATTTTTTTTACCAATATGTAAGACAGAGCATTTATTTGTTGAGATTTGGAGTTGCCATATGTTAGACCATTCAGATACATAGTCTAGATCTTTTTGAAGGGTAGTAGTATTGTCTGTGGTATTGAACAGCTTTACATCATCAGCGAAGAGAACGCAATTGCTCTTGATATGATCACAAAGGTCGTTTATGTAGATTATGAAGAGAGTTGGTCCTAGAACACTGCCTTGGGGAACACCACTATTGACAGGTACTGGATTTGATAGGGCGTTCCCAATTTTGACCATTTGTTGTCTGTTTGACAGGAATGCTTCTATCCAGTTATTCAGTTGTCCAGAGATACCATAAGATTTTATTTTTAGGAGTAGTTTGTCGTGTACCACTGAATCAAAGGCTTTGCAGAAGTCTATGTAGATTGCGTCTATTGCTTTGCCCAGGTCGAGTTGAGTAGTCCATATGTTTTTGCAGTGTAAGAGTTGCAGATTACAGGATAGTTTTTTTCTGAAACCAAATTGTTTATTGGAGAGTAGGTTATTGAGATTCCTCTGTGGTTTTCCATCACCAGGTCTGACTCTTCTCATCCCTTACCTCCTTGGCCGCAAAAAGAGATGGGGGAAATGCAAGATCCGAGTGTTTGTCGGTGGGCAGATCAACCGAATGGACGAAGAGCGGAAGGCGTGAGTTCCACCTGTAGAATTCAGGGCTGTTGTGCCCCAAATACACCATTTGTGTAGAGAAATGGAGTCGGGGAGCATCAAAACAGAGGAATATATATTAGAAAGATGGTTGAAATAACTTTCTTCCCCCATGTCTTTATTTTTTCCCCTTCCTTAGGATTGTCTCTTTATTAAGCAAGTTTCGGCTTGGATTTCATGAGGTTCACGTCCTTCCAGATATTAACCAGAAACCCCGACCTGAACAGTAAAGCATTATTATTATTATTATTATTATTATTATTATTATTATTATTATTATTATTATTATTATTATTATTATTGTTGTTGTTGTTATGCATTAATGTATGGGCCAATACTACAGCATCCCGCCGTAAAGCCTCTTCCAGTTAAAAATGTATCTATCTATATACAGTAAATTACAACAGTTGGTAAGCGGGCATTCAGTGAATCCAGCTTCCAACATTTTGCTTGTCAGAAGCTGGCTGGGAAGGTCATGATGATCACATGATCTTGGGAGGCTGCAACCATTGTCAATACATGGCCAGTTGCCAAACGCCTGGATTCTGATTATGTGACCATGAAGATGCTGTGATGGTTGTAAGTGTAAGGACCAGCTGCAAGTCATTTTTTCAGTGCGGTTGCAAATTTTGAATGATCGCTAATTGAATGCTATCAGTAGAGGATGATCTCTATCTGGACTATTGTAGGAAATAAATTTGATTTAAAATATGAAAATAGATTGTCAATACAGGAGCAGCTAATCACTCTAAGCCAAGCCAGGTCTCATTATTAGTCCAAAGACCAGCCAGAATTCTTGTTCTTCCCATCTCTTCCATGGTTTTTCAGCTGGCCAATCAAAGTGAGGCCAACATCTGGGGGGCCATTCCTGAAAAGGCCATGCTCCCCAGCATTTGCTACCCAGAGGGCCCACCTTAGGGCTCTTAGACCTGGTTGCAAAGATCCAGATGAGATGAGATTCAGAAAATTAACCACAGCCATGGTAGTTTTTGGTGTTCCTGTGTGGGTGTAGGAGAAGAACCTGGGAGTGGTGGAGTGAAAAGGGGGAATCAGCGTAGAATCCCTATGTAGCCACAAGAGGTGGTTGGAAACTAATCCAAAGAGAGAAACAACCTGGACTTAGGGAGAAACGTCCTAACAGTGAAGACAATTAACCAATGGAACAGCTTCCCTCCAGAAATCATGGGCGCTCCCATCACTGGATGTTTTTAAGAAGAGACTAGACAGTCACTTACCTGAAATAATATAGGCTCTCCTGCTTGAGCAGAGGGCTGGACTAGAAGACCTCCAAGAGCCCTTCCAGCTCCTATTCTGTTCTGTTCTGTTCTGTTCTGTTCTGTTCCATTCCACTCCGCTCCACTCCATTCCACTCTATTCCCTTTGAGTGCAGTTAACCCTTATCTAATTCCAGGTAGGTGCTAACAGTTAGTTGAGTAGATTCCTGTGCATAGAATTTTAGCAATGAATCAGTTTAATTGAAACTTCATGTGTGGACCTGGTCTTGCATGCCTGACAATAGTCAAGAGTTAGTTCTTAAAATTGGCCGGATTCCTTTCTCTAGGCAGGTGTCCCCTTTTGGCTAAGACCAGGGCATGGATGAATTTGGTTCATGATAAAAACTCATGTTGGTTTTGTTCCTAGTGTGAAGAGATTTGATGACTTAATTGCTCCGTTCAGACTGAACGATGGCTTCAAAGATGATGCGGTGGTGAATGAGATGCGTCATGGTTGCCCATGGAAAATTTCCGATGAAGAGGTTGCAAAAAACAAAGCTAAGGTTTGGATGACCTTCCCTGGGGTGGATTTCAGACATTGGGACAAGAAAAGGGAGCAAGTAGGGAGACCGAGGCCATCATCTCTTTCTAACTCCAGGTCTTTCAATCTGTCACCTTTGGTCAACCTGGTTAACCTGACAGGGAAGTTTAGAATTCCTTTTACATTATGTTGGAAGGGGAGTGGTGTGATGGCCTAGAGGGGGAGGTCTCGCCTCACAATCAGGAGGCTGTGAGTTCAATCCTAGGTAGAGGCAGATCTTTCTCTGGGCACAGTGAGAATATATCAGCTGAACAAAACTCTGCATAGGTGACAGGAAGGGCATCCGGCCAATAAATACTCTGCTAGCTCCGTTCAATTGCCCAGACTCCACATTACAAGGGATTATAGGGTCATTAAAGGAAGATGGTGATTTTGTTGGAAGGTGTTTTCAAGCCCACCTTCTTAGGGAAAGAATAAGAATATTATTCTAGTGTTGATGTGGAAATTCAACAGCCATTCTACCTCAAATCTGAACTGGATCAGCTTTCCAAACAGAATTGAAAATTCCAGATCCAATGATTAAAGTTAATCCCCCTTTTCTCAAGTCTGTTAGAATCAGACAGAAGAATCAGAACGACTGGATTTGAAACATCCAGCTGAAACTATGGATTCGACTTGATTTTTGAAATGGATCAGAGCCATCCATGTATCCCTGGTTGTCCGTGGAAGCAGAGGGCTTGGGAAAAGAGCTAGGGAAAAAAAAAAAGATGGGAAAAGGGATTCTGATAATGAGATCAGAATGCAAACCCTGTGACTTAATACATGCAATACAGACCCAGATTGGTGGGGCCATTGTGAGCTTCTGGACCTCTGCTCATCCCTTTGTCCTTTGTCCTTGTGATCCTGGTGAAATCTGGCTTGACTCCTTGCTTGCACCCTTGGAGTTCAAGATGGAAGAGAACTTTGAACCTTCTATCTTGTGGTTTTTCTGGATGCATTTTTCTGGATTGGCTGCTCTGTGACATAGAGTGCTAAATTGGAATTTTTGGCTTGATCTTGCCAGGTTCTTCTTAGATTTTATAGAGAACCTCCAAACTCATTTGCAGAACATTTGATAGTAAGGAGGGAATTCTTGTTTGGGTCTCCAACAAAACAAAACAAAAAACAACCAACCCTTGAGTTTCTTTATATTTCTTTACGTGGTGGAACCACCAATGGAAGAAGGGAAGGTCCCAATAGTTGGCATAAAAGATATTCCAGCTTAGAGTCCATTCAAAAGAGAAAATGTTTGAGATGAAACCTTTAAGTCTATACCTGCCATTTCCCAAGAGAAGGCAGACAATCTGGTGAGATTCTTGGAAGCAGGTGGTCAACAATAGATAAATTTACTTGACCCATTGTCAGAGCTGTTCTGGTTGCTTGTACCTGACACTTTATATCTACCTGTGCTGAGCCTTTTCTGCCTTCTATTTCAGTCACTTCGACAGGTGAGAATGAATGAAATTTTGCTGGATTATTCTCGGGATGCTGCTCTTATTTTCATGTAAGTAAGAGAAGTCACCAATGAGCAAAATGTAAACCCTACTCGTTAGGAGTTGCTAGGGATGGAATCTGTGTAGGAAAAGTGTTGGCTTAGTCTGGAAGTTGAGTCATGGCAACTAGACTTATTTTTTGTGAGTTTGAGATATTTTTGCTGCCCATGCAAGCAGCTTCTTCAGTTTGAACAAATTAATAATTCCAGTCACCATCACTCAATTTCCAGACAATTCTACCGGAATGACTGAGAATCTTCACTGACATATTGTCATGCACTTTAGAGAAGAAACCTTGAGACTTTGGAAATAGAAAGGCAACAAAGATGACTTCGGAGCTGGAGGTTAAAGTATACAGAGAATGGTTACAGGAATTGGGTATATCTAATCTAATGAAAAGAAGGACTAAGGGAGACATGATAGCAGTCTTCCAATATTTGAGGGGCTCCTTCAAAGACAAGGGGGTCAAGCTATTTTTCAGAGCACCAGAAGGCAAGACAATGGATGGAAACTAACCAAGGAGAGAAGCAACCAAGAACTAAGGAGAAATTTCCTGACAGTGAGAGCAATTAATCAGTGGAACAACTTGCCTCCAGAGGTTGTGGGTGCTCCATCACTGGAGGCTTTCAGAAAGAGACTGGACAATCATTTATCTGAAATGGTATAGGGTCTTCTGTCTTGGACTGGAAGACCTCCAAGGTCCCTTCCAACTCTATTATTCTATGTTCTATGGTGCAGGAATACCCCGAAGAATTTTAGGAGTTTGCAAATTCCAACGCAATTTATTCCTCTACCCAACATTGTTCAGACTGAAGAAGCTGCTGGGATGGGCAGCGAAACAACTCAAACCCACAAAAAAAATTAGTTGAGTTGCGATGATTCAACTTCCAGACAAGTCTACCTGGATGACTAAGAATCTTTTTCAAGATGTGTTGGCTTAGGTTTGCCTTCTTTAATCTCTGGCCTCTCTCTCACCCCATCCCACATGTCCTGTTTTTAAGATTCGCAGATGTCACAACCACACTACTTGGAATACTTATTTCCAAAGAAAATGGAATAAGCATTCCAAAGAATTGTAAGAGATTAGAGAAGTGGTCAGAGAAAGCAAACCCAATGACCTTTAATGCCCACATATGCAAAATCCTTCATTGGTTTTTTTTTTAAATCTATGCAATATGGAAGGACTTGGTGGCTCACTGGCTAAGATGCTGAGCTTGTCAATCAGAAAGGTCGGCAGTTTGGTGGTTCGAATCCCTAGCACCGCATAATGGAGTGAGCTCCCATTAGTTGTTCCTTCTTCTGCCAACCTAGCAGCTCGAAAGCATAATAAAAAGTGCAAATAGAAAAATAGGGACCCCTTTAGTGGGAAGGGAACAGCGTTCCATGTGCCTTCAGTGTTCAATCATGCTGGCCACATGGCCATGGAGACATCTTTGGACAGCACTGGCTCTTCGGCTTTGTAACAGAGATGAGCACTGCCCCCTAGAGCTGGAAATGACTAGCGCATAGGTGTAAGGGGAACCTTTACCTGTACCTTTTTATGCAATATGCAGATCAGGTCCAAGAGTAACACAGGTAGTCCTTGACTTACAACAATTCATTTAGTGACCACTGGAAGTTACAACATCACTGAAGAAAGTGACTTATGACCGTTTTTCACCCTTACGATTGTTGCAGCATCCCCATAGTCACGTGATCACGATTCAGATGCTTGGCCACCGACTCATTTTTAGGACTGTTGCAGAGTCCTGTGATCCCCTTTTTTTGACCTTACTACAAGCAAAGCCAGATTCATTTAACAACGGCGTTACTAACCTAAGAACTGCAGTGATTCCCTTCACAGCTATAGCACGAAAAGGCATACAAAGGCAGCAAAATGCCCTTAGCAAATGTTCCACTTGGCAACAAAAATGTTGGGCTCAATTGAAACTGGGTATGTCTAGTTTGATGAAAAGAAGGACTAGGGGTGACATGATAGCAGTGTTCCAGTATCTGAGGGGCTGCCACAAAGAAGAGGGAGTCAAGCTATTCTCCAAAGCACCTGAGAGCAGGATAAGAAGCAACAGGTGAAAACGAATTAAGGAGAGAAGCAACTTAGAACTAAGGAGAAATTTCCTGACAATTAGAACAATTAACCAGTGGAACAACCTGCCTCCAGAAGTTGTAAATACTGCCACACTGGAGGTTTTTAAAAAGAAATTGGATAACTATCTGTCTGAAATGCTACAGGGTTTCCTGTCTAAGCAGAGGGTTGGACTAGAAGACCTCCAAGGTCCCGTCCAACTGTTATTTTATTCAAAAACTTCCTGTACATGTGATCAGAATCTGAGAATTGTAGTTAATGACAAGCTGATGATGACTGGTGAGAGAGAGATGGCTGCTAAAATACCAAGGGAAGACTGCATCAATATAGTTTCAAAATACCCCAATTCACGCTCATGCGTCAATGACACTATCTAATCATCTCATCCTTTGCCACCCCTTCTCTTTTTTCCTTCCATATTTCCCAACAACACGGTCTTCCCCCAAGGAGTCCTCTCTTCTCATTGTTCTGACCAAGGCTTATTGAGACACTAACAAACACACATTAGTCCCAAAACCCTTTTTAATTTATTTTAACGGCTATGAATTTTAGTCACCCACAGCTCGTAATGAGTCTCCAACAGTTTGTAAAGAGTCCCATGGAAGTCTGCCAAAGTCCTTCAGGATAAGTCTGATAAGCACGCACCTTTATCTTCCTTGAAATGCTACCAATGACTAATTTTCCAATTAGTTATACGAGGCCAAATGGAGAACAAATTCAACACAGAGCTACAGGTTTCAAACTGACCAGTATGAACAAAGTTGCTTCCTGCAAAGGTTCCTGTCCCTTTGCTCCTCCTTTATATCTTATGGGAAGGGCAATCACCTCCAAGTCTTACTCCCAAGTTCTTGCCTTCTGGCAGCTCTGTGCATACTCGCACTGGGAACAGGCTCCCCTTGTTCCTCTGCCTTGCTGCTGCCAGATTCTGGAGGCTCCAGAGCCAGCACATAATTCCCAGATGGTCCTGGCCCCATCTCTGTATTGGACACAGGACCCTCATCCGAGTCTTCCCCAGACTCCCAGACTGGTTCATGTTCCTCCCCACTGTCTGACTCTGCCGCTGTCTCCAGAGGCTCCTGGTGGACCCCAACACTCATTAGGTAGCCAAAGTGTTTGAACCTCGGCATCTGTCCTTCCCAAGGACAGCCAGGGTTGATTTCCATTAGGTTCAGGATAGACAAACACAAACTTGTTTTCTTTCTCCTGTTCCTTGTCATTTTTTTCAGAACTATGCCAGTTGGCCGAAAGGGATGCCCCAGTAGCCTGTACATGGCTTGGCTGGAGACCCTCTCGCAAGATCTCAGGTCTCCTGTGATCCTGATCAGAGGCAACCAGGAAAACGTCTTGACTTTTTACTGTCAGTAGGACCTTCTTGGGCCAAGAAGCATTGCAGCACGGAGAAGAAATTTCCAGTCGGATCCTGCTTTGCTGATGAGCTATCAAGAGGCTCCATTGCAGGGATGAAGGCCAAGAATAAAAGACCAATGGTGGAAAACAAATGTTGTTGGGTTGTAAGAATCTTCTTCTTCAGAATTCTTAATGTTGCCAATATGGGCTGGGTTTCTTCCTTGTGCTGAATCATGGCTTGTTTAATCATGGATGGAAAAAGAAGCTGCAATTGGTTGGGTTCACACAATGTGCCACGTCATTAACTCTGAATGGTAGATTTGCTGGTCTCCCAAAGCAACCTAGGACAATGACTACATTTGAGTGAAATTGTCACTGTCATTTAATTAAAATTGAATACACAGTGGCAATAGCAATAGCATTTAAACTTATATACCACTTCACAGTGCTTTACAGTCCTCTCTAAGTGGTTTACAGAATCAACATATTGCCCCCAACAATTTGGGTCCTCATTTTACCCACCTTGGAAGGATGAAAGGCCGAGTCAACCTTGAGCCTGGTGAGATTCGAACTGTTAAATTGCAGTCAGCCGGCAGTCAGCAGAAGTAGCCTGCAGTACTGCGCTCTAACCACTGCATCACCAAGGCTTTTATAGCTGGAAGCCGAATATCTAATAAATACGGTACATTGCTATCTGTTCACAAATACTGCATATTCATCTTGAATACTGAATTAACCCATCCTCTAGATTCTTATACTATGCCAAATCATAAAACAATTGAATGAGCTGGACTCATCCACCTATTATAAGCCACCCAAGAAAGAATTAAGATTAAAATTCACCAAAGTTATTGTACGTATACATCAGTTCGTTCTTGATCTGACTTGTTAGAGCTTATGGTGCCTAAAGATGACACTATTATAGCAATTTTTAGAAACCAGAGGGATGAGATCCAGGCCTTTTGATCTTCTGGTTGCATTTCTTTGCATCACACCACAATTTCTAGTGCAGAGTGTGAAACCACACTTTAAAGAGCAGTCAGGGTTGATCTTCTCTAAGGACTGACCGGTTGGATCGCCTTGCAGTCCAAGGGCCTCGCAGGAATCTTCTCCAGCACCATCGTTCAAAAGCCTCCATTCTTTGGCGCTCAGTCTTCCTTATGGTCCAACTTTCACAGCCACACATTACAGCTGGGGAAACCCCAAACAATATCGTTTCCAATGATATTGCCCTATTTTTCCCATTGAGTTTGCAGCTCCTCAGTAAGCCAGCAGGGGGCAGCAGGTCCTAAAAGTTCAATATATTTTGTCCCTGACTCCAATGATTCAGGCTGTCTCCATCATCCCTCTTCAATGTTAGCGGATAGTGCATTTCCAGCCTGAGTATATATGCACATTACATAGGCATTTTATTTATCTGCCAGGTGAGAATAAGAAGGGCATTGGCTTTCTTTCACCGGAAAAAAAACCCAACTTATAGCAAATGATATAAAATAATTAAAATGCCAGTGTTTGCGCAACACAACAGTAGGTTATATAAATAGCAGATTAATGGAACCCCAACAGACCAGGTATAAATATCTTGGGATGCAGTTCCAGGCTTTCTTATCTTGGAGGACACACATTTCTTATTAGGCAAGTGTGGACGCTATGTGAAGACTTTGCAATTCTCTGGGAAGAGGCTCTAATGCTGGGGAAAATGGAAGGAAAACTACATATAGTTCTTGCTTAACAACACAAAGGTGCTTTTTTAAATGAGGCAACTGGACTTTCTGGTTTTTCTTTGAAGATGTTTTGCTTCTTCTTATTTTTATTATTTTCTATGAAGACGCTTTTTAAAGAGGCAATTGGATTTTCTGGATTTTCTTTGAAGACGTTTCACTTCTCATCCAAGAAGCTTCTTCACTTCACTTCTTCATTGAAGTGAAACGACTTCACAATTAAAACCAGAAAGTCCAGTTGCCTCCTGAAAAAGCACCTTTGGCACAACCAGGACCTGGAGGACTGAGAATCTCTACAAACACTTGTTTAACACACCTAATCGGGACCAGCAACTAAGTGCTAAGTGAAGTGATTGCTAAGTGAGGACCACAATCATGCTTTCTGGATGGAAAAAGACAAGACTAGTTAATTTCACTCTTTCGGCTTTTGTTTGCCCATTGACCTCCAGAAGGCTCGTGTGCCCTGCTTGTTGCCTTGTACAACACAAAGCAATGCTTTTAAGAGATGAACAGATTAACAGAGTTGGAAGGGACCTTGTAGGTCATCTAGTCCAACCCCCCCCCCCTCCGCCCAAGCAGGAGACCCTACACCATTTCTGACAGATGGTAGTCCGGTCTCTTCTTTAAAGCCTCCAGTGGTGAAGCTCCCACAACTTCTGAAGGCAACTTCTGTTCCATGGGTTGATCATTCTCACTGTCAGAAAATTTCTCCTTATTTCCAGGTTAAATCTCTCCTTGATCCGTTTCAATCCACTATTCCTTGTCTGGCCTTGGGGTGCTTTGGAGAATAGCTTGACCCCTTCCTCCTCTCTGAGGCAGCCCCTCAAATATTGGAAGACTGCTCTCCTGTCTCCCCTGGTCCTTCTCTTGACTAGAGTAGCCAGGCCCAGTTCCTGTAACCGTTCTTTATATGTTTTAGCCCCCAGCCCCCTAATCATCTTGGTTGCTCTTCTCTGCACTCTTTCTAGAGTCTCAACATCTTTCTTATTCTGTGGTGACCAAAACTGGATGCAATATTCTAGATGTGGTCTTACTCAGGTTTTACAGAGTGGTATTAGTACCTCCCTTGATCTTGATTGTATCCCTCTGTTCATGCAACTTAGGATTGTGTTGGCTTTTTTGGCTGCCACTGCACATTGCTGGCTCATATTTAACTGGTTGTCCACTAAGATTCCAAAGATCCTTCTCACAGTTACTGCTATTTTAGCCAATGTGATCAAGCCACAACCCAGGGCCAGGAGCTGTAGATATGCTACACAAACAGCTTATTCTCTTAAAAAATTTTCTTCCCACTCTCTCCATCCTATGAGGAAGGATCAGGCTAAGGAGAGATTACCTGCAAAAACTTCTTGCTTCCCACCAAGCAGAGCAGCTTGTCTTCTGCCAGCTAGTTAGTGTTCAAATTTAAGTAGCACTTAAAAAACAACAACAGCAATGGGAAATTTTAAATGCTGACGCCATGGTGTCTATGAAATATCGCAAGAAGGCAATTTACACTGAACGTGGAGCAGAAAAAAACCTTGCAAACTTAGCTTGCAACTGGAGTCGGGTAACCAAGTTCTGTAAATCATAGGTTTTTTTTTTAATTATTGTCTGTAGCTGGGGGGGTTTGGAAGAAGGGAAGGGAAAGGAATGCAAACTGCATTTAATAAGAAAACGATGAATAAGGAGAAACCTGTGAAGCCACATCAGAGGTATGACTAGGGCCAGGGATTCCTGTTTTTCAGGTATTTTTATTTTGCTATCATTTTACTAGATTGCCATTGTGCCTTCAAAGCCTTTAGCTAGCAGTAAACAGGCACCTGAGGGACTGAAGATTATTAAAGAGAGATCCAATCTAGAATTAAGGAGAATTTCCTGAAAGTTAGAACAACTAATCAGTGGAATAGTTGGCTGACAGAAGTTGTGGGTCCTCCATCACTGGAGTTTTAAAGATATCAGACAGATGTTTGTGCAGAATGGTATAAAGTCTCATGCTTGAGCAAGGGGTTTGACTAGAAGGCCTCCAAGTTCCCTTCCAACTCTGTTATTCTATGTAATTCTGTGTAAATCTTTATTTAGTCAGCGAGTGGGTGAGCTAAACATTAGGACCCTGTTTTTCCTTGCTCCACAACATTTCCATTAAGCATTTCTGTGGAGGAAAAAAACCCACATGAAAACCTCACATTAGCAATGAATGCAATGTAGGCTAAACATGGAGCAGAGAAAAACTTGTAAAATTGCCATACAACTGGTGTTGCATAACCAGGCTGTGCAATTCATAGAGTTGGATTTTGTAGCTGGGCCATTTAGGGGAAGGAATGAGAACCTCATGGAGTTAGAAAATGATGAAAAACGTGTCAAGCCACCCCCTCAGGCCCTGGGATTTCATATTTTTCGGCTCTTTTTATTTTGCTCTAAAATCAGAGTTATTATTGGGTCAATTGGATCAGTTCACAGGGAGGCTAACCATTAGGCATTTGTTTTTCCTTGTTTCGCAACATTGCCATTATGTCACACTTTATCATGTACTCTTTCCAACCCACAGTTTTGGAATCTCGTATCCAGTTTTGGTCCCCACCATATTAAAAAAGATGTTGAGACTCTAGAAAGAGTGCAAAGAAGAGCAACCTTGAGGCTAAAACATACGGAGAATGGTTGCAGGAATTGGGGTTTGTCTAGTCTAGTGAAAAGAAGGACTAGGTATAGTCCTATGATAGCAGTCTTCCAATATCTCAGGGGCTGCCCCAAAGAAGAGGGAGTCAAGCTATTCTCCAAAGCACCTGAAGGCAGGACAAGAAACGATGGATGGAAACTAATCAAGGAGAGAAGCAACCTGGAATTAAGGAGAAACGTTCTAACAGTGAGGACAATCAATCAGTGAAACGGCTGGCCTTCAGAAGTTGTAGGAACTCCATCCCTGGAGTTTTTTAAGAAGAGACTGGACAGTCACTTGTCTGAAATGGTATAAGGTCTCCTGATTGAGCAGGGGGCTGGACTAGAAGACCTCCGAGGTCCCTTCCAGCTCTGTTATTCTGTTATAACTAGGCTATGGTGAATGGGCATAATTCAAGGACAGCCTTTTGCCAGGATCATCAGAACTTTGTATGGTCACTGATAAATAAATCAAAGGGTACCTGTATGGCCCTCCTGTTGACGAAAAGAAAGATTTTAATGGCAGGTAACCCAAACTTTCCTGTTTGTTAAAATGCAGGTTGTGAAACCTTGTTTCTGTTCAAAGTTTATCCTTCATCCTGACCTTAAAGATTTAATCTCTGGCTGGTTTGCTAAAATCACAGCAGCAGAAAAAGACAGAGAGAAACATCTCTTCTATCAACATGGATATTCTCAGCTGGCTGGTCATTCTTTCCATCCTATTTCTCTATTTCTGGAAGAGCCAACGTCCCAAAGGTTTCCCTCCTGGATCATGGAGCCTCCCCCTGATTGGGAGCCTGTTTCATCTCAGTAAGAAGGATCCCCTCAAGGACTTGGATCAGGTGCGGCTCCTTATTCGATCCCACATTAAATCTCCACAGAGTGAGTTTGCCAAAAAATATCTCCTTTAAGCACCCTCCTGCAAAAAGAAGGATCAAAGACCAAGGGAAACAAACTTTCAGAATGTTATCTAGATCTTTAAGGATCTGCTCTGTAGAGATGTATATCTGATTCAAAGGAATCCTGATAGTTAGTGGCTGCTCTGGAGAGAATCATTAGCTTTTTGAGATGAAATAATTTATAGAACTATGCCTGCCTTATATGGGCTTTGAAAGAATTTTGGTATTTTGGAGAACATAAGTACAGTTCATTTAAGAAGAAACTTAAAAAGAAGAAAAAAATGTTTTTTCCCATAATCAAAAGGTAGATCCTTGGTTTTTTAAAAAATACTCTGCTGAGTCTTCTTCCTATTCTTGTCCCCTCTATCAATGGCCTTTCATTAATCTTCACCTGTATCACAGTTTTATATTATATTTCCACTCGTTAACCTATTCGTAATTAAAATGCTTACTTACTGAGCATAGTTAAATGGCAATTTCATCACGTTGTGTTCTACTTTTTTTAGTTGTGCTTGTATAGCTTTTCAGCTAGGCTATTGGTAAGGTTGCAGTATTTTCCTAGCACTTATGAAAGAATAATTTGATCTAATTCATTAACTAGGTTAGATTAATAGAGTCAATTGGGTTGTGGAAATTGGATGAAATAAGGCTATTTGTTAAGTGTGGCCATAGTGTGTTTATGGATTCGCAGGTTGATTCTCAGTCAACCAAGTCATAGTTTCCCAAAGGTGCTTTTTTCCAAAAAGCAACTGGATTTTCTTGAGGTTTTTTTTGTCTTTGAAAACATTTTGCTTCTCATCCAAGAAGCTTCTTCAGTTCTGAACTGAATAGAAAAAGCTGGAGGTCCTTCCCATCTTTATTTCTTCGGAAGACACTTGACTGATGAGAAATGAAAGGTGATAGTTCACAAGTACAGTTAATAGCAATAACAATAGCACTTAGATTTATATACCGCTTCACAGTGCTTTCCAGCCCTCTCTAAGTGGTTTACAGAGTCAGCCTCTTGCCCCCAACAATCTGGATCCTAATTTTACTGACCTCAGAAGAGTCAACCTTGAGCCGGTTAGGATTGAACTCCTGGCAGTAGGCAGAGTCAACCTGCAATACTGCAGTCTAACCACTGTGCATAAGAGATGGATGATGGATTGATGGAAGGGCAATAGCGCTTAAACATATATACCACTTTACAGCCCTCTCTAAGGGGTTTACAGACTCAGCCTATTCCCCCCAAATAACTGGGTCCTCATTTTACCCACCTCGAAAAGATGGAAGGCTGAGTCCACCTTGAGCCTGGTGAGATTCGATCTGCCAAACTGCTGGCAGCTGGCAGTCAGCAGAAGTAGTCAGCAGTACTGCACTCTAACTACTGTGCCACCACGGAGTTACAATCACAACTGAGTCTGGAATTACAGTTGTAAGTCATGCTGTTTGTGAAGTGGGTGATGGGATTTTGTGACCTTTTGTTGGTTATCGGAGGTTGTTAAGCAAATCACCACGGTCGTTCAGTGAATCTATGGCTTCTGGCAAAAGGCATAAATCATGGTTATGTGTTCTCCATTTGCTGCAGACAGCTGTCAATACAGGCTGCAAAACCCAAGATAAGGTCATATAATTATCTGGGGGAAATGGCCATTGGAACTTCAAATCCGAGTCTAATTACCTTTCCTGTAGTCTGCTGCAACTTTGAATGGTTGTAAGCTGAGGATTTGTTGAGGAATAACCATTTTGGATAGGAGGAAGGCCTAAATGAGGAGGCAGCCGGGTGTCCCTACATAAACACCAAGAGCAATCGATCTTATCTCCCCTTGAATGATTTACAGCAAGGGTATCAAACTCAATTTCATTGAAGGCTGCATCAGGATTGTGTTTGACCTCGGGGGGAGGGTGGAGGGGGGGGGACGTGACCAGGATGAGCGTGGCCAGCTCGACGTCACTCATGTCGGGAGCATTTGTGGTGGTCTGAGCACTCTGGCAGCAAAAACGGGCTCCTGAGCTCTGTTTTTGGCTGTGACAGCCTCCTGCAACCCACTGCCAGTGAAAACGGAGCTCCAAAGGGCGGCCTGTGATCCTGCTGAGCTCCATTTTCACTGGCAGAGGCACTGTGGGCCATTGCTTTGCTGTTTCTAGGGTGGACCCGCAGGCCAGATCTAAGTACCCCGCGATCCGGATCGAGCCCCTGGGCCTTGAGTCTTTCCCCAGGTCTTTCCCCAGGAGAAAGCTTCCAGTCTGGGGAGATTCCTGTATTACAGGCAGAGAACAATAAAGTAGCTAGCTTGAATTCTACACATATGAAGCTGGTGGTTCATGCATTGTAGGACTATCTCTAATCTTATTTTCTTTTGCTTTATTCTGCAGATTCACCTTTTGATCCTCAGCCATTTCTCCAAACTGCAGTCGCCAACATCATGTCTTCCATTCTGTTTGGGAAATGTTTTGAAAACAATGACAGCTCTTTGAGGATTATGCTAGATGTTTTACAACAAACTATAAAAATGATGCTGGGACCCTGGGCCATGGTATCCTTGATAGGAGCGCAGGAAAATGGTCACGATTCCCAGAGATGCTAGTGGGAATTTCAGTGTATTGCAATTAAATGTCCACCTCTCTTAAAGTTGTTGAGATTGAGAAACACAAATCTGCAGGATATTATAATACTGGTAGATGAAGTGCCTTATATATTTTTGAATGTCATCCAATTTTCCTTGCATAACTTTATTTACTTTTAAAGGAATGTCATAATTTGATGACTGACTTGGTTGAGCCAGCAGGAACCAGAGTTAATTAGGACACAACACTGCTTTATATTAACTTATGCGAATATTTGAGCCCTATCAAACATTGAATATGAAATAACCTTCATGAACATAGATAGTCAAAGGTGTTTTTCTCTCCCAGCATGATCAGTTTAATTAATTTTGATTTGTTTTCTCCTTTTTGGCAGCTTTACAATGCTGTGCCCTTAGTGAGAAGGCTTCCCCTGCCACATCAGAGAATAGTAAGAAATGCCAAAAAAATCTTTGCTTTTCTTGAAAAAGAGGTGGAGGAACACAAGACAATGTTTATTCCTGGAGAAACCTGGGATTTCATTGACGCATACCTAATAAAGAAATAAAGAAGGTAAAAAAGATCCACCCCCCTTTGTTTGATTTGCACTCTTATATAGTTGTTCTCATCTTGTATCTGTGGCTACCAATTACAGATGTATGAGTACAAAAAAAACAACAGATCTTTGATGGATGGCCCTACCCTACTTTGATACCTAAAAAGATACAGAATGGGTTGCTTGGGTAGTTAAACAACTTCCACAGAAACTTTTTGGAAATTTGTGTGAATTTGAGTTTTGTCCTAAAGAAAGGAACAAGCTATTGTGTTATCTGAACTCATCTATGGGACTTCGCTTAGCCTGTTGCATAAACCCAGCCAACCCATTCTTCTAAATCAGAACACAAATGAATATGAAGTTCATTCAAGAGACGTCATTGGAAAATATTCTAGAATAATAAAAAACAGCCCTCAACCTATAACCCCAGTTGGGACTGGAGCTTCCATCACTAAGCAAGGCATTTGTGAAGCGATTCACGCCTGATTTTACAACCTTGTAGTGTTAAGTGAATCACTGTGGGCTTTAACTGAATCAAGTGGTTATTAAGTAAATCAAGCTTCTCTCGTGAACTTTGAGAGTGGGAACCTTGTAAATGGTGATCAAATGACCCTGGGATTCTGCAACTGTCATAAATGAATGCTGGTTGCCAAGTGAATTTTGATCATGTGATTGCAGAATACTGTAATGGTCATAAGTGTGCAAACTGTCCCTAAGTCATAAGAGATTGAACAACCATTTGTCTGAAATGATATAGGGTTTCCTGCCTAAGCAGGGGGTTGGACTAGAAGACCTTCAAGGTCTCTTCCAACTCTGTTATTCTATTCTATTCTATTCTATTCTATTCTATTCTATTCTATTCTATTCTATTCTATTCTATTCCTATTCTATTCCTATTCTATTCTATTCTATTCTATTCTATTCTATTCTATTCTATTCATTTCTACTCTACTCTACTCTACTCTACTCTACTCTACTCTACTCTACTC